TATATATATATATATATATACATATATACATACATATATACATACATATATATATATATATATAAAATCAACGAACGAACAAAAATTATTTAGTGTGTAAAGCTTTGTCTGCACTATCAAATATAATCAAAAAAGCGTCACATAAAATGTGATGGACAATAAGAGTTGAACATGTTCAACTTTTTTTATACAATTTGATAGTATGTGATATGACGTAATCGTACCCATATATGGGCACATTTTTTTGTCACATAAAATTTGAAAAATACAATACACGAGCTACATATTGCTAACAAAATTTTACTGTACTTGTTTTCAATTAATTGGTGCTGTGGATTAGCATCCATATCAGGAATAGGTGTCGCCTTGCAAGAATCTACAAAGATAACCATATCGTCGCTGAAAGTTTGCACACTTGCACCAACGTACACTTTACTACCAAGACTCAATACTACAGGGTATTCCCAATATGGGTATGGTGTAGAGTAGTCTTCATCAGTGTAAAGCTCCATCGTAAACGAGAAATTCGCATACTCTCGCTTAAATAAATCTTGTAGCTCTCCCGCTGGATGGAAACCAACCAAAGATCGCCCTTTATTGTCAAGCTCACATTCCACGGCAATGTGAAAATCGCCATTTCTGATAATTCCTTCTGTTTCGTAGGCCATTACTTGATTGTGGTAGGTTGTAGACTTCTCCGTCGACTACAAATCAAATTTTAATAAAGATCATAAGGGAACATTATTTCTGTGGGAGGTAAATGTTTGAAGAAACGAAATGAATTATTTGTTTATAATGTTCTTGGTTATTGTTTGGCATAATAGGGTAAATAACTCTTAAATACAATTTTCACCATCACCCATTAGACGTTGGTGTATTTTGCTACGTTGCATTACATCATATCACATTATATTATTTTACACGAATGGGAATGAGAATCATAATATATAGGGCCTAATTGGCAAATATAATGATATACACTTACATTTGGTAACAAACAATTCGATGACATTGGATGGAGGAGCAAATAAAATAATATGTCTATTTCTAAGTTGCTAATATTAATATTTTGACCGTCATCGAGGTTTTCCATTGTTTAAATCAAGTGACGATAAACATACTCGGCAGCAAGGAACAGCAGCACCATTTATTGATAATAAAGGAAGTGTAATCGTCGGTGTTATCGAGTGTCGAATATAAGCTTATAATGTTCATATAATTATAGCAATACAGTACTGCAATGCATTTTTAATTTTTTAAATAAAAATAATTACCGTCATTGATGTTTGGCATTCATCATAACGTGTGTGAAGATAAATCCATTGAATGCCATTACGATTAACATACCCAGAAGCAGTACATGTTGGGTCAATGAAGTGAACATTGTCGGCGTTTTCAACTGACGAATCCAAGTAAACTGTCATATAGGAATCAGTACATACAACATCTGTAAAGGTATCAATATGTTTTTAGTGTCCTTTTTATTTTTACATTTCTGGAAGTGTCATATTAATAATTTAAAATAGGCTTAATAATAATAATAGTAATAATAATAATAATAATAATAATAATAATAATAATATTAATAATAATACTTATTACATTGATAACAATGAAAATAACATTTAACAATAATAATAATAATAATAAAGTAATCAGAATTCAATAATAATAATAATAATAATAATAATAATAATAATAATTAATAATAATAATATCTAAAATTCTTTCTGTGCTCGGCTTTAGAGGAATACTTTCATGTAGGCAATTTATGTAGAAAGGTATCTAATTTATTTTACGGTACCGCTTGTAGAACATTAAAATCTCACCTACAATATCCGGACAGTGCCCTTTACTGATATAAATATCATCGACAGCTACCATTCCTTGGTGAGATTTTCCTTTAAACACCAAGTTAAAACCGTCTTTGGTATCATAACTTACGCTGGCATGCTTCCATTGGCTGCTGAAGTCGTCGTAATTCCAAAGCAGGGTTGAATGATCACTAATGTTATAATAATGAATTATTCTTAAGTATTGGTCTGAGTCTCCACTCATATAATAGTAAAATTGAAGACAAGCTTTACTCCAAGTTGGTGGTGTGCTTGGACTTTCAAGATATCCATACCGGTTCCGATTAGACGATTCAACATAAATGTAATAATCGTCTGAAAAAGTAGAAAAACAAATCGAATTTTTCGTTTTTCGTTACAAACGATATGATTATCATAATACAAAAGCAATTTTTTTATATATAATTTTATATAATTTTCACTTTATATGATCACAATTATTATTCCTAGTATTTTAATAATAATAATGATGATGATAATGGTGTGCTCCTAATAGTAATAAATGGTAATAATTATAGTAATAACAAGATAATTTGAGATTGCAAAACCCTCGCCCTGTTGCCTTATTATACACACAAACGCGCGCTATTGTAATCCCTTTCACCTCTCCTGGGGAGAGGCGATGGTAATAATAAGAATAAAAATATTTTTCCTACTCACTCTGGAATCTTGTTACTTAGGTACAGTATATTGCTTAGTATAAATTATATTGTGCGTTTTTTACCATTGTCTGAGAGCGGCTTAGCTCAGTCGGATACAATGGTGGTAGCCTCTGTGTGTGCTCTGAACCACGGAGATCTCTTGCTCCCCAGTTCGAGCTCATGGCTTCTCTCCTTGTGTTGCTGCTAGAGGGCTGAAATGCTACGATGGGGCACCGTTTTCCGGATTAAACGTTTAAGTCGTTGGCCCTATGTGCATTATGACCAGTGTGCACGTTAAAGAACGCAGTACACTCTTCAGAAAAATAGTAGGGTTGTCTCCCCTTGTACTGCCCAATTCTCCACTAGAAGAACTTCACTGGAAACAATTTTTAGGACTTAGTGTTTTAACCTAGGTGTGATTCACACCAAAAGTACTCCTATTCTATCCTAATATTATTAAAAAGATCAACATTAATGAAAAGGAGACATTAATAGTAAGTTATAATTAACCGAACCTGATGCAGAGTAGCGATTGTCCCGACCAGATCCATCGATCCCCTCAGACGATCGCAGCCATTGATCATTAGTACTGGGGTACAAGTGAGTCCAACCGTCCCATCCTTCATCGAAGTCCGTACAAATACCATCTGTTTAGATAAAAAAACAAAAAACATTTCCATAACAAAATGTTTCCGTAATAAAATAAACATTTTAAACAGCCTATTTTAATGGCCCTTTCCCTAGTGTTAATTGCACTTAGCAAATTGGCAATCAGGACAAGGCCATGAATAAGCACGTGTTCCAACAAACACACGTGTTTGCGTACATTGACGCAATTGTTTTGTGGGACCTTAACACTATCCAAGAGGGCGCTTAGAGGTCCATTCATTTGATAGAATCAATTTTTAGAACCTACCAACGAAATAAGTGAGCCTACCTGTGGTTGCCGGATAGATGGATATTTGAGCTTCAAATCCTCTGTATGATATACTGCCATCACTTATAAAGACAATCGTCAGTTTGTTATTTGTGGACACCGTTATTGGTGGCAAATTGGAACCAGTGTGAGCGGAAATTTGTTTTCCGTTACTGCTAATATAGATATAATCGCTGGAGTCCTCGAGATAAAAATCGTAGAATTGAATAGAGAGCAAGCTGCCTGGGTGGGTACTAAACGTCCATGTTACGTCCATGTTATTACTATATTCACTTGGGTAGCCAGGAGTGGTGATTATTTGTGATCCATTACCGCAGATGAATTTTTCCGTTGTTTGAGGAGGTGGTACTTGAAAAAAGAACATAATATAGGCCCTACTTTACCTCATTCTAGGCTGTAGTAGTGTCATATTAGTAATTTAACTGATGGCGTAATAATTACAATAACTAGACTTACTATGTCTGTACAACAGAACATAGGGCTTTCCCTCATTGCCATAAATTATGTTGAAATTGCAACAACAAAAAAGTCATTAAAGAATATAAAGTAAAAAACACACGAAAAACAAAAATACTAAATACTACTAAAAAAATTATAAAGTAATAAAAAAAAAAATATGACAACCAACTTCACGACTAACGCGACGTTAGTGAGACTCAAACTATAGCAACCAGTGATTTATTTGGCTCAGTAGATTCTGAATTTCAATACATTACATTTACTGTAAGTCTGCAAAAACAATACTAAATGTTTTTTCAATTAAGGTTTATTAAAATTCCACTACAAAAGCCAAGAGATTTCGCTCGATGCTCCCGAATATCCGCAAATTACGCACATTCACTTGTCCACTTAGCGCCACCCCTCTCTGCTTTACGATAGAAGAGGTTTAACCACATCTCCACTGATTGATGTTTTGTGAGTAAATAAATGTGAAGTAGCCATTTATTCTTATTGCAAAATATATGCTAAGAAATCTATGATGTCGTGCGTTTCATGCAACAAAATTAATATCTTTAAAACCATAAAAAGACAGACACCAAAAGTTGAAATATTTTCTTCTCTGTGCTCAATATTCACGTGATACGCGCCAAGGTTTTGGCATCATGTTAATTGAATCAGCATCGAGTTTCCTAGTTTTAGCCAATACACAGAGAAGTTTTGTTAGTATCATACTTTAATTGAACAAATATTAAATAGTATTTTGTATTTTCAGACTGACAGTAAAATGTAAATGTATTAATCACTTGTTTTATTGATTCAACAAGGCCCACACAAAGGCTGAATCCCGAGGCCGCAAAAGTGAATGGAGCTGATTATTCAGGCTGACACAGAGCATGCGCAAAATAGGTTTTATAAGAGCCTGGTTTTCACGAGAGCCCTAGTATCTGGATCGGGAGCTAACCGTTAGCGCTAACCGTTAGCACCTGTGTGAGAACGACGGATCGGTTAGCGCTAACCGTTAGCGGTATCCGGATACCGCTAACGGTTAGCAAGCGCTATCGGTTAGCAAGTTGAGCGCGTTTCTATCGTCAACCAATCACACGTACGCGTTTACAATTTTCAGTTTCTTATTGGCCAGTGATTCGATCATCATACTCTTGGTGTCCGGATCGGGATCTTCTCGTATGGACGTACGGCAGCTAACGGTAAGCAGGATCCGGATCCCGCTAACCGTGAGCTGCCGTGTGAGAACATAGTCTGAGGCTATGTTCTCACGAGAGACCTAGTATCCCGATCGGGAGTTAACCCGTTAGCGCTAATCGTTAGCACCTGTGTGAGAACGCCCGATCGGTTAGCGCTAACCGTTAGCGTTATCCGGATACCGCTAACGGTTAGCAAGCGCTATCGGTTAGCAAGTGAGCGCTTTTTTATCATCAAATCACACGTATGCGTTTAAAATTTCCAGTTTCTTATTGGCCAGTGATTCGATCATCATATTCTTGGTATCTGGATCGGGATATTCTC